GAGAGAGAGAGAGAGAGAGAGGGAGAGAGAATATGAGAGTGGATCAGTCAAGGGAAAAGTAGGGTAGGAAAACAGTAAAGTCAGAAACACAAGTGTATGTGCATATATGACTATGCATGTTTTGGGTTGGGGGAAGAGATCAATAACGGGTAAGTACATACTATATGTGTGGAGGGGTTTAAGTCTATGCTTCTCACACTGGGCAAAGGTCACCTTGCCAAAGGGTTAGTGAAACCACAGCATAAGCACTATGTGCCTTCCCAGATTATCAGGTTTTCCTGATTTTTTGGAAGAATATTTTTTTTTTCAAAAATTAAACGTAAACAATCATTAAAAAGGAATGCAGAATTCCCATGTTTGTTAAGTTAAAACATAATCTCTATCTCAGCTCTGCTCCTGGGTACCCCGCCACCTCCCCTGATGTCTCTATTTACTCTCCTGGATTAGGTACTTGGTTAGAAAAATTAGAGAAACACTGGAATTTAGGGTGATTCTGTGTGTGTGTGTGTGTGTGTGTGAATGATTCCCTTGCTTTTTTTTCACTCTTATTTTTGAAGTAATTATAGATTCACAGGAAGTTACAAAAAAGTGTATAGGGAGGCCCCCCCTACCCTTTACCCAGCCTCCACCAATGGTAACATGTTAGTACAGTAGCAAAACAAGGAAATTGACATTGGTACAATCCATAGACCTTTTCACCTGTTTTACAGGCATAGGGGTGTGTGTGTGTGTGTGTGTGTGTGTGTGTGTGTGTGTGTGTGTGCATGTGTTTCTCTGCAGTTTTATCACATATGTAGATATGTGTAACTACCACCGCAATCAAGATATAGAACTATTGTTGTATCACCACAAGGTTCCCCCATGCTACAGCTTGTGTGTGTGTGTGTGTGTGTGTGTGTGTGTGTGTTTAAGCACTCCAACCCTAACTTTGAAACTGGAGCATGAGATTTGCTTAAGTGACAAATTATTCTGGCTTTCCTTTTTATGAATTAAATCCTTGCCTGGGGGAAGTCTTCTGGGTTTTCAAAAGAGTTTTCCTGCCAAGAACTTGGCCTCCTGATCTCTACCTCTAGCCAGTTTCAGCTACTTTCCCTTTCACTCCCTTTCCCTCTTTGTTTCCTACCTCTGGAGTCTTCTTCCCCAGCTACATTCCAAAAGCAAAAGGAGAGCAATTATCTGTTCCTCTGAGGGACTAAGATAATGGAAAACCTGTGTCAAAATTATAACTCAGAAGAAACCTGAGCATTTTGGTTCTCCTTGTCTAGGTCAACAAATTATTTTAATAGTATTTTATGTTTTAAAAAGTCAAAAGTTCATTGTGTTTTGTGTTTCATGTAATTTGAGTGAGCTTCAACTTCTAATATTGCTATCAGCAAGCATAATCTCCTAATGTTCAAAATAGCTTTTTTTGTAAGAGAACTATTTGCAAACCCTTTAATGTTGGTGAATCCTTATTAGTGGTTAAAATTAGATTTCTTTTCTAGCAGACTTCGCTATCATAGGGGCGGTAGTCTCAAAAGTATGTTCTCTCCATTTTAAAAACAGCTATTGCCATTTTATTCTTTGGGATATCTGGCATTTCACTGGTTTTGTTTTATGATCAGAGCCCGAAACTTTCTACTGCATAAACCTGTTGCTGAATCTGTGGCAGCAAAATTCTCTCAAAGGTGTGGTCGTTCTCTACAGAATGTAATTGTGTATTTTAGGAAAAACACCCAGGAATTTTAGACACTATAACCTCCTATGAGAATTTGACACCAAGGTAGGTAGCCAAAGGTGAATTTAATGGAACTTTAGGACCAATCACTTCAAATATGTAGCCAAGGTTCAGCCATTCCATAAAAGGGCTGGTAAGATTCTTAATAAAATTGACATAATATCTATCATACACAGTTGACCCTTGAACAACACAGGTTTGAACTATGCAGGTCCACTTACACAATCAGCCCTTTGTATTTGCCTCTGCAGATTCAACCAACTGTAGATTGAAAAATGGTATTTTCGCATTGCCATCCACAATTTTCCAGCTGCAGGTCAAAAATACTGTTTTTGACCTGCAGTTGGTTGAATCCGTGGATGCGAAGCGCTGACTGTAGTTAAGTTTTTGGGGACTCAAAAGTTATATGGGGATTTTCAGCTGCCCTGGGCCTAGCTCCCACATTGTTCAAGGGTCAACTGTATATTTGACTACAAAACCTATTAAAGCCCTTGTACAGAAAATGAATTTGCTTCAGAGTGTTTTTTTTTTGCTCTTGTTGCCCACCCTTAGGAGCCATTGCCAACTTTCTTTGGGTGTAGCAAAGCCTGTCATTTTCAGCAGCAAGTGGGCTGACAGTGTTTCAGTAGTTGCTTTGCTGACAATCAGGGAAGGAACACCTGGAGTGATTTAATATTGGTCTTTGTCTTTCTGATCTCCTCTCCTGAAAACCCATTCCTCAGAAGAGCTACATGCCTCACCAAGGCTGTCTGAACTAAAACATGCTTCTTTCTTTTTCCCCGGTTCCAGGGAGCCTTTGCCTACATAGTCAATTATTTCATGTACGTCCTCTGGGCTCTCCTATTTGCCTTCCTTGCCGTATCTCTTGTCAAAGTGTTCGCGCCTTATGCTTGTGGCTCCGGAATCCCTGAGGTGAGTCTCTAAAATGACTTATAAATGTTAACAATAATGAATCCTGTGTGATTAAAACCCTTTAATATGTATTCCTGCACATAGCACAATATGAATATTAAACAGGATCAAATCCTGAGGCAATGTAGAGCCTTTCTAGGTCCTCCCTAAGTCTCCTCCCAGCCTGGGCCACCTGGACATTGATTCCTAGCCTCCTATGGGTTCATGGTGAGCCTTCCCCACTCCCGACCTAAGAAGCTCCCAGGGTAGATCCCAAGACTGTGGCCTGAAAATATAGCAATCTTGTCAACTTTTCAGAGCAGAAAAAATAAAACTATTTTGCTATATTTCCTACAACCTGATTTGGGCTAGAGAAAAGGTAGTTAAACTTCTGTTTCTAACTATTTTGGGTTTAGGTTGCTTGACAGTGACTGAAACCACTGAGATTTAAGGTTACCCAGATGACCTTGCCCCTCTCTGTTTCCTGACCAAGTCGTAGTTACAAATTTTTCTGGCGGAGAATCAAGACTATACTAGTCTGTAAGGAAAATACCCTCCCTTTTCACCTCTCCTTCTCCATATACACACACTCTAATACTTAAAAGACTCCCTTGCCTAGCTATGAGAGAGAGAGAGAGAGAGAGAGAGAGAGAAGAAAGAAAAGAAAAAGAAAGAAAGAGAGAGATAGAGAAGAAAGAAAAGAAAGACAGAAAGAAAGAAAGACAGAAAGAAAGACAGAAAGAAAGAAAGAAAGAAAGAAAGACAGACAGAAAGAAAGAAAGAAAGAAAGAAAGAAAGAAAGAAAGAAAGAGAAAGAAAGAAAGAAAGAAAAGAAAAGAAAAGAAAGAAAGAAAACTTGAAGAACAGTTTTCGCTTTCTTGGGCTCCTTGGCTCCCTCCCAAACTGAGATCACTATAGGTCAAGCATTTATATGTCACTTGTTCAAAGTTATAGCTTCTATAATGAGGTCCAGCTTATTGCTTCTTAGCCTGGTGTAGTTGCTTAGTCTATATTCAATCTCTCTCTTTTTGACCTACAGATAAAAACTATCTTGAGTGGTTTCATTATTAGGGGCTATTTGGGGAAGTGGACCCTGATTATCAAAACCATCACATTGGTGCTGGCAGTGTCATCTGGCTTGAGCCTGGGCAAAGAGGGCCCCCTAGTGCATGTGGCTTGCTGCTGTGGAAACATTCTGTGCCACTGCTTCAACAAATACAGGAAGAACGAAGCCAAGCGCAGAGAGGTAATAACAAACGGCCTTAAAAGTCTCTCTCTCAATGTTTTTTTTTTATTTTTTATTTTTTGGTAAGGGCATAAATGGTACAGTCTTAGGGATAAGAATTTGGGGATTCTACCAATAGTAATGCAAATATCCTTTGACCCAGAAGTTCCACTTCTAGGAATTTATCCTACAGGCATCCTAGCATGTGTGTATGCCCAAAGGCGTATGGGGATAGTCAGGACAGCATTTGTCAACAAATAGTGAAAAACTGAAACACTCACAGTGTGCGTCAACAGGGAACTGATTGAATAGACAATATTCTGTCCATACTATAGAATACTATGCAACTGTTAAAAAGACTGAGATAGCCCTTTGTATACTGACATAAAAAGATGAGTAGAAAACACTGTTAGGTTTTAAAAAATTTGGAATAATGTGTGTAGTATAATTCAAATTTTTTTAAAGGTGTGTATGTGTGTACCTAGAAAGAAAATGTCTAGAAAGTGCTTTTATCCCAAATTGTTAAAAATATCTACATCTGGTGAATGGGAAAGTGAGGTGGTAGTGAAAGAGAAGGAAACACTTAATAATTCTATACAAGTGTGTGCTGTTTCCGTTACAAAATAAGTTACAAAAACAAAAGATTATTTAAAAGAAGTTGTTTATTCCTGTGAAAGAATACACATTCAGCATGTGTTTCAGATGCCGGCTTTTTCATGTTTGATTTCTACCTGACACCACACACAGTTCATTTCTTTCTGTATTAAATCTCCCTATGCCTTTTGCCTTAAGCGTGCTAAATTAGTCCCACTGCAGCATCTCTGTAGTGGCTCTCATGTTTATGCAGTTGTTAATGTATATCATTTTGAGGAGGAAGAACATTTAAAAAAAATATTCCAAGTCATTGGCTACTTTTGTCCTGCTATAATTAAGGATTTAAGGAAATAGTGGTTCTTGCTCTATTTTCCTTTAGTTACAAAGAAATCACATATGGAATGGGTCAAGACCAAGGTCATTTCATTAGAAAGTGTTTTCACAAAATTGGAACCTAGTGATTTATTTTGGGAAAAACAAAACAAAACAAAACAAAACAAAATTGTAAGACCCAGAAGGAAACCCAAAGATACTGAAATTTCAAATATGGAATAATACATTTTGATAGTTCAAGGGGGAAAGCTCCTGGCAGGAGAGGAAGGAAGGCTAGCAGGAGAGAGAGAGAGCTGAGCAGATTGTTTAGTTACCTGACAAATGGTAGAGGGACATAAAGGCAGTATTAAATTGGTGAGGTTGTTATATGTGAATAATGTACAACAGAAGCTAAAGAGTTGGAAAAAAACCATTTTAACTGGCAAGAGTGAAGTGTTTGTTGCTCGTTTTGCACGGGTACAGGTGACTTTGAAACTATAGATTGCTGGTTACTTTCATTACATAAAATTGATGTTTTTGTTTAAATAATGCCTTATAAAATGAGAGGGGAGTTTGATTTGGCTGTTTCTCTTTACAGATTTCATGTATTTCTCTAACTAGACTCATGAATAGTTGAATCTTTAGTTTACTTCCCATTGCTTATTTAGACTTTTTAGTTATTTTTTTCCTGTTGATCGGCAGCAATGCTTTTGTGTCCCAGGACCTTGTCAAAGTGGAAAGATGATTGAGAGTAAAATAGGGATTTAATAAGGAAGGGCATAGACAGACTCCACTCTTCAACATAAAATTAAAACCAACTAGCCACCTCGATTCTTTTTTCTCCTGCATAATTAATCTTAAACAGAGTCACAGAGATCCCCCTTCTTAAGTTCCAGTGTTGACTGCCTTCGTCCTTTTCAGATGAAAGCCATTATAGCCATACATTTCTAAGTCCTCCACAGCTAGCACCAGAGATCTCACTCTTTCCCCTCACCCTGTTCCTGGGCCATCCTGCATTCCCAGAGAAACCTGCCTACGTATTTTGCCAAGAGCCATTTTATTCTTCAAAAATTCTTAATTTTGTTAAACTTTTCTTTCAAATACTTTCTTACTTACCCCAAATCATATAGAACACCACAGCAACCAGAATCCAATAAAATGACTTTATCCTTCTATTAAATCTGTTGTGTTTGTCATGCTCCTCCCCTCCCCTCTCCTCCTCGCCCTTTAACTTGCTACACCCAAACATACTTAGATCTTCTCTTCCCTTAGAAATCTATCCCCAACCTTGCTCGTAGTTGCCTCCCTAATTCTTTCCACAGGTCACTAGGCATGGGTAGGACACATAGTACAGGAAACCCTAGATACCTATTGTATGAATATTTGAAGCTCCTGAATAGCAGTGAGCCAGTGTGACTTCAGTTTTGTATCATTAGAGCCTTCTTTAATATCTCATTTAAAAAGCATTCCTTTACCAAGATAGTGCTATGTACACACATCATGGTAATTACTTCATTCTGGTGGTAAATAGGTCTACAAAGTCAAATTCAGTAACGGAATTGGGAGTACTGGGGATGGGGGCACAATTTGGAATAAAGCACGTACCGCAATTAATTACAAAGGAAAGGCCCTCTACCTGTTCAGGCATGTGAACCATGTGTTCAAATTCCAGCATACAATGTTTGCTCTCAAAGGGAATATAAATTCAACTTCATTTTTGATAAACTGGATGTGGAACATGTAAAGTTTTTTTTTTTATGTTTTAGTAACCACTAACATTCCTTTTAAAACTGTGATTGAAGATAAGAAAGTGGCATTATTCTATTGCTAATTTTGAGTTTTGGATTGTAGGTTTTGTCGGCTGCAGCAGCAGCTGGTGTATCTGTCGCCTTCGGGGCACCTATTGGCGGAGTATTATTCAGCCTAGAAGAGGTAACTGCTTTTAACTGTTTGTAGCGCATGTGATTGGAATCGGGCCAGTATCTATGTACATAGCAGTCCCAAAATGCTCTGCGCAATTCAGTGCTGTTCTGTGTGACCAGAGATCTCTGGGCAGTTTTCATCCTCAACTCATAATTCCCACAGCACCAACTTTTCACTTGAAACAGTTTCTGCATATTGACTTGGTTTGCTTTCTTGCCTTCTCTCTTATAGGTCAGCTACTATTTTCCCCTCAAAACTTTGTGGCGTTCGTTCTTTGCTGCCTTGGTGGCAGCATTTACTCTACGTTCCATCAATCCGTTTGGGAACAGCCGCCTGGTTCTATTTTATGTGGAGTTTCATACCCCGTGGCATCTCTTTGAGCTTGTGCCATTCATTCTACTGGGCATATTTGGCGGTCTGTGGGGAGCTTTGTTTATCCGCACAAACATTGCCTGGTGTCGGAAGCGTAAGACCACCCAGTTGGGCAAGTATCCTGTCATAGAGGTACTCGTCGTGACAGCTATCACTGCCATCCTGGCTTTCCCCAATGAATACACCCGAATGAGCACAAGTGAGCTCATTTCTGAGCTGTTTAATGACTGTGGCCTTCTGGACTCCTCCCAGCTCTGTGATTATGAGAACCGGTTCAACACAAGCAAGGGGGATGAACTGCCTGACAGACCGGCTGGTGTGGGAGTCTACCGTGCCATGTGGCAGCTGGCCTTGACACTCATAATGAAAATTGTCATTACTATATTCACCTTTGGCATGAAGGTGAGGAGATTCTTTTGTTACTTAGTGGGTGAATGTGTGGCTATGGGCTTGGAGGGCAAAGCCAAGATATCATACAATCCTCATAGCTCATGTGGCGCTTCCAACTTTACCCAATGTTATTCCTCAACCCCCAAAGCATTTGTACCCCCACATGCCCTCATAACTTTTTAGACAATTGTACCTCTATCTAAAATTGTCCAAGCCTAGTTTTAGGCCAAATGCAAACCTCAGTGCTGAGATTTTAAGTAGAAATGTTATCTTCTTTTCTGTGGAAAATATATTTTGTCCCTCAAAAAAGGATGGTGAGGTATTTGTTCTGGTGCATTGTGTATTCAAACAATATCTGGACAACATAGTGTTGGTCCTTATAAAATGGCTTTAGAGTTTACCCCTAAAGTAAAAAAAAAGTATATATATATATATATATATATATATATGTATATATGTATATATTTATGTATATATATAATATATATATTATATATATATTTATATATATATTATATATATTATATATATATTCAACCATTTTGACCACTAAAATGGCAATTTGATATGGTTTAGCCCAATATATAGCTAAATGTGTTTTTTAATAGTTGGTATCAATGTCCAATTAGCAAGAACTTCACAGGTGATCCTAAATTAATAGTTAAACTGTCAAAAGCAGACATCAGACCAGCACATTTTACTTTCAGTACCCATTATCATTTCTATGCTTCACAAGAAACCAGAAAAGACATTTCATTAATGTATTTTCCTCCTCCTTCCTAGATTTTTATTTATTTGTGTCTTTAGCACCCCATTATTACCAAGTTATTTCCCTATATTCTCTGGGGAAATGGAGGTTCAAACCAGGGAATTAGAGATAGCAACTCAGTTTAGGCAGTACTGTAATCTCTATCCCCTCAACACCCCGGAAAGTTTTGCAGTACTTATTGAGTTAATTTTCACCTGTGGCTTCCTTTTTTAATTTGAAATGAATTTTCATATCATCAGACCCACTCAGATTCAAATGTATGCCAAAAATCAAACACAGGCTATTTAATCTGGATGCTCTAAAGACAAGATTTCAGGAAGTAGGTGCTATTATTCCCAAATCACAAAGAACTTAAGGTTCAGAGAGGTTAAGAAACATACCCAAGGCCAAAATTTAACCTGCTGTTTTGATTATCCTTGTCATCATTTCCCTCTCTTAGTTCAGAAAATTGAGAATTTACTATAGTATCCTAGGAGTCAAAAACAAAGAGCGGGAGACAGATGAGAGCTTCTTTTCTGTATTGTGATGCAACCGTAGTCACTACTTCATTTAAAAATTTTAATTGTTTAATCTTTCTTTATAGCATGACAAAATAAACTGAAACCTCATGTGCCATATTTTTGTGGGAGCAATAGGTTAAGATTCAATACATGAGAATTGTTATGAGCATTACATTTAAAGCCCAGCACCAGTATTTACTAAATTTTGGCCTTAGGTGAGTTCCTTAACCTCTCTGAACCTTAGGTTCTTTGTGATTTGGGAATAATAGCACCTACCTCCTAAAATCTTGTCTGTAGAGCAGCCAGCATAGAACATGGTAGATAGTCAATAAAAGATAATTACTGTTGATAAGAATTCAAAATTGGGGAAAATGTCTGCATATATGAGAAACTCCATCTGTTTTCCTTTTTCTTTGGGAAAGGCTTAATTTCTGCCTCCAGTTCTGTGTTGGTCTGGAGAGTTCAGGCTCTAGCCTGATGGACCCCGAATAAGGGTAAGCTTCTTTGCAGTCATACTTGCCTGCACGTCCCAGAGAACCTCTAGTCCCTGTAGTGTTACACAAATCTTTACAGCCACTTGCTAGCATAGTGCATAGTTACATTGTCATTGGCCTGTTTGCTTTGCAGAGGATCAACCCTCTTGCCCTTACACAAGCCAGGCAATCCCATCATTTCTCGCTAACCATCTATTGCTTTCTCTTTGCAGGTCCCTTCTGGCCTTTTTATCCCTAGCATGGCTGTTGGTGCTATAGCAGGTCGGCTTTTAGGAGTAGGAATGGAACAACTGGCTTATTACCACCATGACTGGGCCATCTTCAATAGCTGGTGTAGCCAAGGAGCTGATTGTATCACCCCTGGCCTTTATGCAATGGTTGGGGCTGCAGCCTGCTTAGGTGAGTAGTGTTTGCATTGATTTCAAAGAAGTTGCTACCCAGGTGACATAATAAAGAAGAGGGATATTAAACACAATTGACTGCAGATTTTTTTTTTAAGTGGCCATCCATTTCCTGTTGGGTTTGCCATTTTTCAAGTGCTTTAAGAAAGCATTCTTTACCATATATCTACATTACTCCCCTTTGAGAATAATTCCGTCATACTGAGGAAATCATCAGAAATTTAGACAAAACTATATGCACAAGAATGTTCATCATGGTATTATTTATAATAGCAAAAAGTCGGTATCAATGTAAATGTGCACAGTAAGGGACTAGTTCAATAAATTATGGTACATCCATATAATGTTATACTATGCAGCCATTCAATGTGATGTTGATATTTAACATCTTTAAATACAGTGTTAAATAAATTTGTAATATACAAAATGTTCCTAACATGAAGTGTGGGTGGAGAACACTGGGGAATTAAACATATAATATGAGCTGACCTATGTAAAACCATAGTAAACAACTTGAAAAAGTCATTCAAAAATTTTACTCTGCTTATTTCTAGATAGCGAGCTTATAGATAATGACTTTCTTTTATATACTTTTTTTTCCTGAATTTTCCACAATGGGCCTACACATCCCAGAGAACCTCTAGTCTCTGTAATGTTACACAAATTGTGGATATCTTCTGCAATTACTTTTATAATTGGGGGAGAGTAACAGACAAATAAAACAAAAAGAAGAATCAAGAAAGCATCTTGTACTTTTGTAGATGTGATTTTGAGTCACCTCACTCGTGTCCATTGTAAACTTCCTTTAATGCATTGCTGGGGTCTGTGCAGTTCTAGGTCAGCCTCCTTTTAGTCATGTTTCTGGTAAGTAAGCTTTTCCTGAATGGGGCCTGTAACAGACTGATAATTGTAATGAATCCTGTACTTTTCCTGCCTTCTGTAGCCTATGTCTGTTTCTTTGCAGGTGGGGTGACTCGGATGACTGTTTCTCTTGTTGTCATAATGTTTGAACTAACTGGTGGCTTGGAATACATTGTGCCTCTGATGGCTGCAGCAATGACAAGCAAGTGGGTGGCAGATGCTCTTGGGAGGGAGGGCATCTATGATGCCCACATCCGTCTCAATGGATATCCCTTTCTTGAAGCCAAAGAAGAGTTTGCTCATAAGACCCTGGCAATGGATGTGATGAAACCCCGGAGAAATGATCCGTTGTTGACTGTCCTTACTCAGGACAGTATGACTGTGGAAGATGTCGAGACCATAATCACTGAAACCACTTACAGTGGCTTCCCAGTAGTGGTATCCCGGGAGTCCCAAAGACTTGTGGGGTTTGTCCTCCGAAGAGATCTCATTATTTCAATTGGTAAGGATTTCAGAAAGGGGATAATGGAACCCACTATGGAAATAAATAAATATTCATGAAATGGAGGAAGATGGAGGCAAGAGAGGGCTAGTTAGGGGCCAGAAGGATAGAAATAGCATTTCCAACTTTTTTTTCTACTTTTCCAATAGAAAATGCTCGGAAAAAACAAGATGGAGTTGTGAGCACGTCCATCATTTATTTCACTGAGCATTCTCCTCCGATGCCACCATACACTCCACCCACCCTAAAGCTTCGGAACATCCTGGATCTCAGCCCCTTCACTGTGACTGACCTTACCCCCATGGAGATCGTCGTGGATATCTTCCGCAAGCTGGGACTGCGGCAGTGCCTGGTTACACACAATGGGTGAGAGCTCTTTAGTGAGGGTGAATTGGATTGTGGGAGAAAGACTGTAGAGAGATAAAGAAAGAAGAACCTAATTCACACGAACATTAGTAGCATTTATAGGCCTTTTGAAGCTCTGAGGTGAAGAGGGGTGTGTCTCTTTTATCATCATAATTAGTAGAAAATGAGTTTGGGGAAGAAGGTGGGTTTGAGAGCTGTGAACTGCTGGCTGCACATTATAAATAACTCAGTTCCTCCTCCACAAATGAAATGGCTGTTTTCTTATGAACAGGTAGCACTGAAATTACAACAGTATTAAGTAGTATATGTATAGTATTTGGTCCTTACAATACCTTTGTTATTATTATTTGAGGATGAGAAAATAAAGTTTCAGTAAGGTTTAAAGAGCCCTTTTCACCAGAGCTCCCTGTTAATATATAGTAGAGGTAGGCTTTAAACACAAGTCTGACTCCCAAAGCCATGGCTGTTTCTTTCTGGGATATTTCTTATCCAGTAAAGGAAGCCATGCTTTTTGTTTTTTAATTGGAAAAGAAAGGAAGTTGAGGAGAAGGGTGGATATTTTTCTGAACATGCTATGTTAATCCAGCAGTTACGTAAGAATTTCACCCTCTAAAATTTCTGAATGGTGTAACTGCTGTCTTGCAGGATTTAAATAAGGATGGGGGCTTTCCCTAACTGATTCATTCAACATTCACTGAATGTTGGGACTTCATATAAGAAGGTATTCCACTAGACTCCAAGGAGACAGGAAAAGGAGTATTACAGGGAAGCTAAGAACACACAAATGCATATAGCATAACCGCAAACAAGACAAGTGGGGGAAACATTGTTGCTGGGCAGAGGGCACAGTTATTGCTGGCTTGTAGGATCAGGGAAGGTATTCTGGAAGAGGGACATTTGAACTGGGTGGCAAAAAGCAAGTAAGATCCGTGTATGTACAGAATATTTAAACCAGAGGAGACTGCAGGATCTGAGACCTAGTGGTAAGAAATGCTTGCAGCATGTTGAGGGACCCATGCATTATCCCACTGGCCTGCTACACATATCCTTGTACATTATCTCATCATCTGTAAGTTCAGATAGCGGTCAAAGACAAAGTTGAAAAGGGCTGAGGAGGAAAAGTGTCACCTTTGAGAATGTCATTTTAACTACAGATTCATTTTTGTTTTGTTCTCTTGTTTTGTCTTTTAGGAGATTGCTTGGAATCATTACCAAGAAGGATGTGTTAAAGCACATAGCACAGATGGCAAACCAAGATCCGGATTCCATTCTCTTCAACTAGAATCACAGGGTTGTGCTGGATACAAAACAGGAAGGACATTGCAGACTATGGATATGTTTTATTAACTGGGTACCCAAAACACATTTCCCATATTGGATGGTAAAGTTATAGTAGTGTTTTGTCTCTTTCCTACAGGTTAACCAGTTGCACTACATAATAATCTCTGGAAATTAATCTTCTGTTTAGGAGAAAATGCAGTTAGGCTTCTGTGGTATTGCATTAGGAAGATTTCATGAAAGAGTAAACAAGATTGCTATGGTTTAATTGTTTTTCTTTTTCTTAAAGATTTTTTTTTAATTTAAAACATAATTGTTAGCCAATATGCAATCACTGAAAACTATGCAAGAAAAATCCCAACCATCCTGACTGATAGCCTGCAGGAAACTCATGAAAAGGTCACTTTTTTGGACTCTTAACTGTCATTGGTGGAAGATGAAGTGTAAACTAAGGGGCTTTACTTTTCCAACCACAGAAAAGAAAGCCAGAAGGAAAATAGTAATGGTATTTTCCAGACTGTGAAAATTCAGTTCAAATGCTATCTTGTTGCTGTTACAATATTTAGCATTATTAGTTTTTTGTGTGTGTATGTGTATGTTAATTTTAATACCTGATTATAAGACAATGCTGCTTTGGTTAGTCTCCTCTAAATGAATTTAAAGAGGTTGATTTTATAGCTTGCTTGTTCCTGGTACTCTTTTGAAGTGCACAAAGATAAGTTATAGAGCTTTCTCCTTGTCTGCAAGAAGGGTAATTTTCCAGATGGCGTTTGTTAGCTAGTAGACAAGGACTTTGCCATGAATTCGTTAGTTGCAAGGAAAGATTTCTCCAGCTTCCTTGAAATGAATGACTAGTGAAGTTCTAAGCAAAGTCAATGACTAGGAATTTCACATTTTGTGAGGTCCTAACTAATCCTCTTACCCAGATGCCACCTCCATGAGTGATGGTGCTTTAGGCTTCTGGAATATGTAACAATAGTAAAGGGAACCAAGTCTTGACTACATACCAGGGAAGATTCCAAGCTATATGTGCATTTTCATGCATTCCTTTGTAAAGACCACCAGTACTAAAATAACTGGACACTCATGCCTCCTCCCAATGTTATGTACGTAGAACAGGCCAGTGTTGTCCCCGTGAACATGAATTTAGGCTCGGGGTACTTTCAATTATATTCAAGGCATTGGAACAGGTTAGGCAGCTGTGACTCCCTTGAGGCTCCTTAGAATTCTAAATAAAATGCAGAGCCATCCTAAGACCCAGGGGTGTGGACAAGGCCTGGTGACACCAAAAGTGCTTGTATCCAATTGAAAAGGTGCCTGTCTCAATTTCCTACCACCTTAACTGCAGTAGAAAACATCACAGTCTAAGGATACCTGGTGGAATTACAGAGCCACCACCATCATTCCCACCGCTGTTTCATTTTCTACAGCTTCACCCACCTGCAGTTGTTCCCCCTCTATTATTTGCCCCTTCCCACTCCTCAGCCCCGAGTCCTCTCTTTGGAATCGAGCACTCTGCCTGGTTAATCATTCCTATTACAAAAAATAACTCCCAGGGCTAGTTAAATTGTAAACCAAGCCTCAGCAATCTTATGGCACGTGGACCAGTGGTAACGCACAGCCATTTGCTTTGCTCTGTAGCCCAGTCACTGCTGCCATGCCTCAATTTCCACACAGATGCCCACAGCAGTGAGACTTAACTGCCAGGGGTGAGAGTTCATTCAGCCTTTCCCATTTTACAAGGCTGTTCCCAGCACTTCCCTCCATCCTTCCTGCCTAGAATCAGCAGTCAAGTCAGCATATCCTCCCCATCCTCTCACCTCCCCTCCCCAGACACCTCAGTATACCTCATTTAAAAGCTATTGTTCCAAGATTCTAGGATTTTTTGCCCCAAGTTCTTTCCAAAATCTGAAATTATTTCATTGCCCAGAACTGGGTAGCCAAGGCTTATTTTGACTTTTATCTTTAAAATATCAAGGCAGTCAAAAAAGGCAGTTAAAAAGAGTTTCTCCTTTTAAGTATATCACTCTAGCATTTTAATGAAAGAGAAAAAAACTAGGTTAATTATCTGATAGTAATGATTCAGTAACTTTACATCTTTTGTCCCTTCCATGCCACTGGTTTCCCTCACATGAGATGTGGTGATTTTAACTGACCACCCCTGTATTTTGTGTAGAAATCAAAGTTCTCATCTGTATATTTCTGGTTCACTATCTATCTTTTCGTGTTAGCCATCCAACTAAAGTTTGCAAAACAGGAAATGTTTGTATTTCTGGTATTCAATGACAGTGAAAGATTTGGTTGCATTTCGTAGTGCAGCAGCGATAATGGAGGGTGTCTAAGTTTGTCTTTGTGTTTCTTCTAGGCTCTGTTTTTGATTTTAGATAGATGAGCCAGTGTTAAGGTGCTACTTCAGAGAATAAATTCAAGAAATCAGATAACACTGTGCCAAGCTATACTTTCTAGATGCTAAGCACCGATGGGCCCTCCAGAGAATAATATCCCTTTGATACCTCACTCGTGATAAATCTCATTCATTAACCTCAGCTTCTCAGGAATCCTTGTAACTCATATGCTAGAAGTAGCTGTAGTGTATGGTATCCATTATATGTCTAATCCTATGGTTTGGCTCAACGGTTGGCTAATTGTGGCTAGAGCTCCCTGCTAGACTGCTAGCTCAGCACCTTAACACTCAGAGTTTCTTGTTTTGAGGCAAAGGAAAATGTTCTTTCTGACATTGCCAAGTCAGCAGTTGAACATACTTAACCAACAAACAAAGCCCACGAAGGGAGGTCTGTCAGCAGCCTCAAATGGCCACATACCTCAATGGCAAAAGACTAGATAATCTGTGATTTAGAAATGAATATGAGTTGAGACTGGTCTGTTTTGGTATTAAAAAAAGAAAATTGCCTGACACAAGGGAAGGATTTACAAAAGAATGCTAGTAAGTGCTTCAAGAGAGTTAGGATTTTCCAAGGAAAAATATCTGGCAGACATCCAGCCATGAAAGGAGTGAGAGTCTATAGATTTGTAAAAGTCTGCTGTATTTTGCATTTGCAGATCTTCAATGTAAAGAATTAAAGAAGCCAAAGCAGTTAGTGGATAATTAGTTCTACCATTGGAAGGAAGAAGCAAGGGACTGGAAATGTAAAATAATAGCCACTTTCAAGATCATTTGTATTTAGATGTTTGTTCAGATGCTCTCCTCTTTTCTGGCTCTGGCATCCTTCTGGCTCAGCGCAGTGGTGGAGCAGAGGTGGTATAGTCCACAGAACAGATATCCTCTGGTGGATAATCTAACATTCATAATACTTTGAATTTGCCAGCTGGCAGAGCAAACAATTAATTGTTTTGGCATCAGAGGCTGAATCTGAACCCTTTACAGTTAGACAGTATCAATTTCTCTAGCCATCCTTCAGTTGTGCTTGAACATGCAAATGATCAACTAATGGAGACTTAGTGTGGCCTAAGGCTGCGAAGTAATTCTCACTCATGTTATGAACCTGTTCAGCTGTGGGGGGAGCAAATATGATTTTTAAAACTTAGCATGCAATAGAGTCCATCATAGAATGTAATCGTTGCCGTATGTTTTAAATATTTAAATCACCTGTCCTGGTTGGTTTCTTTTGATAGGCAATGAGAAGGAAGATGTACTTATTACCCTGCAGTATCTTTTTTTATTTTAGATAAATTGCAAGGAGTGCAGTTTTTGAAGTTGAGTTTTTAATGATGATAGTGAAGACAGTATTGAGAATTTGAACAGCAAGTGTGTTTTATATTGCCAAAGTACTTACTGATGACTGACCACATTGTATTGTGAAGAATTGGTTTACCCACGCTGGCTCAGAGCCAAATACAGGCCATCCATCAGTTCAGAGAAAGCAGGAGAGCATCTTTCATAGTGGTGCATAGAGTACTGAGCTCTTGAAAACCCTGAAAAAAATTAGGAATTTAGAAAATAAATGGGAGGTAGAATATTGAGTCCTTTTTAAAAAAAATAGATGTCTATAGATGTGCTCTGAACTTAAGTATCCTAAAACCTCGATTTTTTTAACCACCTTTGGGATAGGGGGGATTCCCTTTGGAGAGGGAATGCAGAGTTATGACAGTAGAAAAGCCTTAGGGAGAAAATATATGAGTTCATGTAAGATGCTGGAAGGAAGGCCAGCCATACATCCTGGCATTTATAAACTGCTTGATCATGTGACTCAAGGGAAGAAAAAAAAGTAGCCTCCCAAAGACCAGGCTTTCCAAGCAAAAGCATTTGGCTGGCGTGAGTCTACTTTTATGGAGAGGGCTGATCCAAGACAAGACATCTGCTCATGAAAGAGGGCAGCCACTGATGCCATTGCCTAAATGATAAGTTTTAGGTAGATTGTCTTGAATTTTGGTAGCAAAATATTTTTAAATTTATATTTTTAGCCTCCCTAATGTGCACTTATTGTATGTTAGAAAGAAAAAAGTGAGGGTTTCTCAGATGAGGGCTCAGGAAACTGTCTAAATTTGAAGTGAAATCACTGTCATGGGCCTGTGGTGACTGCTCAACTTGGCTCTGCCTCAATTTTGGTTGTTTGTGACAAGGAGAGAAGTTCTTGGAATAGTTAGGTGTTAGCAACTTCAAGTTATTCCCCAAATGTTTGCTGGTCACAGTCTCATTTCTAAACATCTGGATCTGGGCAAAGTCTTGAAGTGATTTAGGGAACAAGATTGGTTTTTCCACTATGGAGTCTGATTTTGCCAAATCACCCAAGAAAGAAAGTATATGATGTGCGGAGTTTGCATTTCTTGGAGGGGACCAATTGAGTCACCCAGCCCAATCCCTCAGTCATAAATTCCTACCTCTAAGTTCCTGCCAAAGGTTCTTCAGCCTCTGTGTGCACACTCATTGAATTAACGCCTTGCCTAAAGAAAGGCATGTGATGGGATAAAAATATGAGGGTTTAAAAAATTATCTCTGCCTTTCCGTCTCTTTATCCCAGCCTCCCTCTCTCTTTTCTCTTTTCTCTTCTCTCCTCTCCTCCTCTCCTCTCTCTCTCTTCCCCCCTCCCCCCCATGCCCTAAATTCAAAACTTTCTCAATTGTGACAAACATGTTGTTTTTTTTCAATGTGGACCTTGGGGAAGGGAGAAGATCATTTTGAAAATACAGAATAGAAGATAAGTCTGAGTTGATGGGGCCAACAGGGCTTTGCTTCACTATAGGGGTGAGAGCCAGTGGTATTTGTCAAGGGCTTTAGCATCTCAAGGCAGTGTTCATTGAAGTATTCATTGCTAAACCTTACTATTATCTACTAGTCCAAATCTATTGAAAGTCAGAGGCAGTCAAGGATTTGGTGAGTGAAATGTCATCTAGCAAAACTGGGATGAGGGGATGGCCTGAGATGGTTTATCAGGGCAGGAATCTTCAGCCTCATTGTCATATTGAGTGTACCTCAAAATGTATGGTTATTCAAGAATGTTTCTTTTTCCTCCCCCGTGTTACTTTATCCCTTCTTCTCCCTCCTTTCTCTCCCATTGTCCTGCCTTTTTAGTACAAAGCTTTTAAATAACTGTTTACTGTTTTTATTATATATTTGGTCCTTTGGGACTATATAATGATTAAGAATTAATTCCATTCTAGATTAAAACAATTGACATGTTTAATATTCTGTTCTTTTAAACTATCTTCTGAAGCTATGCTGCTAACCAGGTACAGGCAGGAAAGGAGTTGAGCCTGACAGCGTGCTGGTCATGTAACGTAAGGATGACATTGGTGTCATGATGGTGACTTCTCTATTTGACCAAGGCCAGCGTCCTGCTCTTACCTCTATCCGTTCATTTCTGGCTGTGGGAAAAATACCAACCTTTGGGTGAGCCAACAAGGCCAGGAGGATCAGAGGGTTCTAGCCCATATGAATATCTCTGTAATAAGCTCATTTATAGGGTTGGCTCCAACTGTGGTAGCCAAAGAAAACCTGCCTGACCGAATGTTTTAGTTCCTGAGAATGGTACAAGTTCAGCTGAAGCTAATGTATAGACATCCACTAGGTATCCAGAAACTAGCGTCAACCAAAGCTAACATAGCCTGAGTTTCCACAGGAAGCTTGGTGCTGAGCTGTTCAGAGCAATTATTTATCTGAGTGTTGCCAACCCTTTAGTCATGCTTTCTTAGCTTTAGTCTAACTTTGAGAGATCTTGGTCCCCACTCATAGGCACAGCCTGAACCAAAACTGTGGATCACTGCTCACTTCATTCTGCTCCTTGGTCATGCATAGCAACAGTCTAAAAAGGAAGACATGGGCTGGGGAGTTAGGAGACCTGGTTTCTATTCCCTATGCTTCTACTAACTAGCCTCGAGATCTTAACCGCTCTGTGCCTCAGTGTTCCCATCTGCAAAATGGGGATAGTGTTAATTGCCCTACCTACCTCACAGGGTTGTTGTGAGGATACATTGAGACATTGAATGGGAAGTACTCTGACAAGTAAGTGCTATGCAAATTGTAAGAAATGAAAACAATCACATTAAAGGCAATGGAATGGACATTGGCAGAAGGGTTAATGGGATTGTCCAGCCCTTTCTCAGTGTGGCTTAAACCCAGGTCGCCATTGCTTTATACATTTTCACTTAGCACATATTTGTAATTATGCATGTAATAAAGCACAGCCTTATCCAACCTGGAGTCTGGTATGTTTTTAAAGATCCTCAATTTTGTAGCCATTGGTTTCTGATCATCAAACCAGGGGGACAGGGTATGGGGGTGGGGTGAGGGGAGTGTAAAAGGCAACTGCAAGCTCCTACTGGCAAGCTCAGTTCTTAAAAAGTTTTATTAAATGCTGGATTATTTTTACATTTATAGATTCAGTAATACTTTTACCATAAGGAGCCAAATGAGGGGCAGCTTGCATTTTCTGAGAGATTCCAGGTATCTCATTCATTATGATTACTTAAATGTTCCTGTCTCGTACGTTGGTGATACTGTCCTGATGGCACAAGAATTTACTGGGAGCCGAAGCTCTTCTCTCTTGAGCTTGTAATGGTGTAAGATGATGGGCTCTGATAGGGCTCTCGCCTACAGTCACTTCTTACAAGGAGTAGAATTGGTGATTGAAATGTTCCTCCAATGAATAGTGGAGTTAGTACTACCCTCTTTATGGTGTGTTGGGGTTAAAATGTCTTCTGTGGGGAACCCTCTGAAGTGACGGGGGAGGGGGACTTTTCTGGGAGGTGATTGAATATACAAACATTTGCTTTTCATACCTGTAGAACATGGAAAACAGAGGAAAGCTATACCGCAGGTCCTAACATATCTTTATTTTGTTCAACATCATTTGGTTATAACATTGATGAGATGCTGTAGGAAATTAACTGTTGTTTATGTCAATTAACCTATGGTAAAATTGGTTTCATTATATGTCATTTCACTTCAAGTCTCAACCTACCAACAATGTAATGTGGGGACTTACTGTACTTTGAAGTATGGCTTTCCTATTATTTTTCCTTCATCTGATTCTTCCCCCCCTCTCCCTCCCTCTCTCTGTCAGCCAGACCACTCACTCGTAAGGTAGTTTGCCGTGTGTGCAGGTTTTCATTTAAAAATTTATCCAGTTGACATTTGATCACATTTGCACTGGTGTTGACTTGATATCTTGTTGCTACCAAGAACTTGAATGCCTTTGGCCCACTTGATATCATTTCAGGAAGGACACCTCTATGTAAAAATAACTCCCTCATAGGCCTGAAATTCCACAACGAAATGTCAGTTTTTGATGTTATTTATCATTTTACTAGCCCCCTTCCACACTATCCCAATCACACCCTCTAATCTAAAGAGCTTTTGAGAAAAAAACAACACACCTAGCTGTTACCAGCTATCAACAACTTGCTGTGAATTAGAGTGTCTTGTCTAGTTGCTGTAGGGCTCAGATAAAAGTGGCTTTGATAGAGTATGAGGTACTGATCTATTCATCATCCAGTACAGGAGGTACCCAAAGGCAAGCCTGGAAATGACCACCAGATGTCAGTGCAATCATTGAAATACTAATGTAGCTGAGGGTCAGAAGAGAACGGAGAGTAAGCAGGGCAAGAAGCATTAATTCATACATACAGCTAGATGCTGGGAATACAGAATCAATCACAAGGTATTTCTTAGTTTATCAGACATTCTGTTTTTCAAT